AGGGTACTTTTAATTTTTTCCTTGTATGGCAATGAGATAATTTCATTTTGCTTGGTTGTTTTCTCTCCTCCTTTAATTTTTCTCGTCTTAATTTTATCTCAGGAAAAACAAGAAATTTGAGAATGTTATAAAAAAAAATACTCATAATTTCGATATAATTTATTCAATCTGTCACTTTCTTCCCGAAAAATGACTAACTCGATAGTAATTCATGAATACATGTACAAGGTGACCTGTCAATTTGTTCACAACTCAAATTTCTTGTGTAATTAATAACTTTTTTTTCTTCTTGCCATAATGTACCCTTTACTAATTACTCTTGCTTCAGGTGTTCGACTCTTTCGAATTACGTCGATTTTGTGGCTTTATTAAAGCTCTCAAACCTCAACGCGCTGTTGAATTGAAGGATGATTTTACCGACTTTTTCTTGTCGACCTTCTGGGATTTCGATCGCGAGAAGATTGAATATAAGTGGAGTTTTCGATTTTTGTGCGAAAATGAGCCGCGAAACGAAACAATGGAAGCGCCACAGTAACTGTGCCGAGTACAGCGCAAATAGCGCCCAAAAACTTTCCCATTGTCGTGGCGGGAACCTTATCGCCATAACCAACAGTACATATTGTAATGATTGCCCACCAAAACGCGTCAGGAATACTCTCAAAGTCGCTATCTTCGTCCTCGTTAAGTTCCACAAAGAACACAGCGCTAGATCCCAAAATAACCACAGTTGTGGCGAACGTTACCAAAAGGCCCAGATCGCGAATGCCTGATACAACAGTGAACACGAGAATTTTCATTCCTTCCCAATAACGCAAGAGTTTTAAAATGCGAATGACCGTCAACGTCTCCAATAAGCGCACGAGTGTCCTCGCTGAAGGCCAGCTCATTTTCACGATAAGCTTTAAATAAAAAACTAGGATCGTCCCAAAATCAGCGCAGTTTGGGAGCAATTTAAAATATTCGCCTTTATTTGGAGAGGCGAGCAATCGCACAGCGCATTCTAAAGTAAACCAGCTATAGCAAACAAGGTCGAATGAAAACCATTCATCTTCGTGTAGTCTTGACGACCCAGCTGATTTTGTTTCGGAGTAAACTGCGGACGTGTTATGTTGTTGGTAGTTTTTCGCCTCCCTTACATGCTTGGTTTGAAGCGATTCAACAGTTCTTAAGCAAGAACCTGCCAAGGATACCAAAATAAACACCTGCGAGAGAACTGCTAACATTTTGGCAGCCAAGGATGAATTTGGAAATTCAAACAACTCCCACAGCACTCTTTGCCAAACGTTTAGCGGGCGAGAGCGGTTACGATCTCCCAGTAATGCCTTTTCTAACTTTTCACAGCTGTCTGGCTCAACGGGGAGCATAAAGAACTTAACTTCTTCATCAAACACTTCGGCGGGCACATTGTCCGGATAAATTAATCTCCCTTCGTTCTGATAGTAAAACAATATCCCCTCGAAAGCTTGCCGGTGGCGGTCGAAAAAATACTCCTCTCGATGCGAATCAAAGTATTTTCGTCTCTTTTGAGGGCAACCGAGTAAAGACTGCGGAAAATGATCCAACTTACTCTCGCTTACTTCAAAGATAGCTCCACTCACGTTGATAACAAGGCGATTGCCACTGTCCTCGACCTCACCGTTTGTTGCCATTATCAAACTGAAAAATTCCCGCCGACTTGTGGCTAAAAAACACCAAGAGGAAGCGAGGAAACTCCAGTGCTGTGAAACCGACGCATGATGAAACCTGCTTCGGTCGTAGTGGTGTGAATTCAAAGTCACAGTGCTGTATGAGTTTCAGTAACTGTTAACAATATTCCCATATTCATGAATGTAAAAGATGCCAGCCATTGTTGCACGATATCCTTTGCACTTGGCATTTTTAGTGCTAATTGTCCCCCTTTGTAAAACACAGCCACAAAAGAAGTTGTAAGATCCGTATTTTGTCGAGTGATCACGTGAGACGTAAAGAAACCAATAAAAATCGCCTCAAATTGGCTTGAACTTCCTGTAAAATATATTTTATTTCGATCCCAGGGTTGATTAGCTAATAAACTAAAAACCTTGAGTGAAGGGCTATTAGACACGTCTCTTTTGCTTACTGCTAAGTTGTCAAATTTCTAAATCTTCCACCTTTTTAATCTTTTAATTTAAATACACATATTTTCGGTATATTCAAAACGCGATAAACAGGTCTTAATGTAGATTGAAATATTGCGCGTTTCTTGCCCATTTTAATAATCAGCGGTGAATCAAAAATAAAAATAGCAATTTATCTTTCTTGTAACTTATTTCATGCGAGCTTAGAACGTCGAATATTTTCTTCTTTTTGTACAATTACCCAATCACGGTTTTGGAAAGCCTTCTTGTTGGTTAGAATTTTTTCTTTATTATTTTTGCTATTATCATTTTTCGATTTGACGTATTTGTTAAAGCTTCCATTAGCACATTTTGTGGCTCTGTACAATCATCTTATTAGTGTCTTCTGTTAAAATTAATAGATCTTCCAAATGTACTTTAAACCAACTGTTTGCAGGTGCAGTCACAATATTATCACAATAACACACGCGCGGCCGGTCTGCATCTTCGCTTTCTGGTTTTCATTCAACCGGGGCAGAATTAGAATTACGCTATTTTTTTTTTCCCCTGTTAGAATAAACTTACGTGACAGCCGTCATCTTTGTAAGAACATTGTTTGGCTAAACGTATCACAGCCACAAATAAATCACTTATATTCCCTTCGGCGTCTTTTACGTGATGCTGGGAGATGTTAAATTGTACCAAGTAACTAATTGATTTTACTGACAAATGTAATTTTATTTCGGTTTTGGCGGCTTGAGTGAGGCAAAAGAAACACTTGTCAGATTAAGTCTAGAATGAAAGAAACGTTTTTGACAAGTGACATTGGTTATCCTGGTGCATCGGCTTTACAAAACCAAAATGAAAGAAATTGAATTTGAATTAATGTCAAAACACATTTAATTAAAATTGCTTTTTTTGGACTATTTCAACCTGAGCGAAAAAATAATAAACAGCCAACGTTGAATTTTTAGTTAGCTGGAATTTTCAGTTCTTTTACGTCAATTTATTGTGCTGGGGCCTGTTTCTCGAAAGCCCCAAAAACTTTTCGGGCCCGCAAAGCCTTTTTCAGTTAATCTGCATCTACAAACAGAGGTCTATACGCCTGAAACTTCTTGTTCGAAGGGAACCTCTGCTCATATTAACAATATGTGCATAAAACAGCTCTGAAGTCGTAAGGCTCTTGATATTTTGTTATGGCTTTTCGGTTGCGAAAGCTTTTCGGCTCTTCGGGACCTTCGAAAAACGGGCTCCTGAACCCTTTTCCTTCGATTGATCTGGTCACGTGACAAGCCAAGTGAAGTTTTTTTGCCAGGCATGAATAGGCCATTTCCGAGTTGTCTTTTGCCTAGGTGTCAAAACGAGTCTTTATTCGAAACCATTCATATCAAAATATGTGTCCCCTGCAGGTTTATCATTTTCATATGAAAGGTTTTGCGCGAAGATTCCTTTGGAAACACATGCGCAAGGTAACTCGGAAATGGCCGAAATGGCCTGTTGGCTTTTTTAAATAGATTTTCACAAGAGTTAGGGCCGCTAGGGCATGGTCATCCTCTTAGCCTGTCCATGGTAGGTCTCAAAAGTTTATCTAATCACATTCTGGGCAGGATGAATCAGTAGGCCGTTTTTGTGTTTTTTATGTAAGTAAATCACGAATAACGATGCAGTGTAAAAACAAATATGAGACATCCTTTAAAACAAGTTTGCTTCCACTGTTAGGGAAACCTGTAGCTGTCTGTGCTTTGTAGGAAACGAAAGCTTTACTGCTTATCCTTCAGCCGTGATTCCACGCCAACATATTGTGCATCTCAGACTTAGCCCATCCCTTTTTTTTCGTTCACCGTCGAATGCGATTCCCTATTTTGGGTCGGTCAGTAGTTTAAAAACAATGCTCCATAAAAGAAATCAGGGGGAGTCTGGAACTAGGAGGCCCGGTACCCCAACATAAACGCCGTGTAGACTGGAAACAACATAAAGTCGTCACAAAATCAACCCTGGAGGCGAGGAAAACAACATCGATCTGGGGTATAGGATTAAAACTGGACAGGTATTCAGCGTAGGAGATGCAGTAAATAAATCTGCGTTCGCAAAAACAAAATGTTTAGTTTTTAGTTTAAAGGTAAAAATATTTGACTGTGTCATTAACGCTGACCTCATAACATTTTTTTTCGTAAAGTGCATAATATATTGGGTCGGTTTGACGACCCTTAACCGCGAAGAAAAGTAGGGGATGGCCTTATTGACAATATGGCCTTTTGAATTAAACTTTTAAAAATACAATTTCATTTACTGTAGTTAAAATAGGGCGTTATTCCCTGTTATTACAGCACACCAGTGATTGCGGGGTTGAAATAAAATTTCATCCGCTCAGTTTTACTGGTTAAAAGATTGTGGGTGCACCGGGCCATGAAAATGACAACCTCCTTTTACAACAAGCTGGGGTCAAATTAAAATCACTTGTCCTATCAGTCGAATATTGAAAAATGAGTATAAACTGAAATTTAAAGGGTCTTTACGAATAAACGTTTCAAAAGGTGACAATAACAGACAGCAGGCTAAATGACATTAGAGTTTTCTTGCATTCATCTATTGTCTCGAGTCTTTCTGACTGAGGTACAGTTGACTGAATGACTTCAAAAGGAACGAGGAGTTTGCAAGCAGTACTCAGGGTTGTAGGTGATTTCAAATGGTCAGCACGAAAACTATCTCGCTTCGTGTTACTGTTAAAATTCATAAGTGTCTTCTGGCGTTAATTCCCTTAGTTTATTCAAGAATTCGTGTTGATATTTGTCCGCGAGTAATGCCTCGCCGGAAGGCTCTATTTTGCTGAAAGCAGTGAGGATTTCCTCACAGTGGCTCTCTTCTTCATGTAAGACGCAGTTGGAGTACTCGTCGATGTAGGTTTGAAGGTACGAAATCGGCACTGACCCGTGCAATAACACATGATAATGAAAATCTTGCAGTTTAAACTTAGCTCCTAATTTTTCCAACGTCTCATTGCGCATTCTCCAAATTGCCAACTGACCAGTCATGTACGAGGTCGCCTGTCCCGGCCAACCCTGGTACCGACTAACCTCGTTAACGACGACGTCACTTTCATCCCACAAATAACGACGAAACAGATGAATGGCTTGGTCACGTGTCATGTTCTGAGAATGGAGGCCGGTATCTATGATTAGGCGAAGAGCGCGCCATATTTGGCCTTTCATAGCTCCGTAGTTCTCGAGTGGACGATGTTGGTACAAATCTGAAAAAAAGAAAAGAAAAATAATTGCGCAACGTTCGTCTCCGATCCGTCCACAGAGATTTTCCAAACACGAAACTTTCTTCCTCAACATAACTTGTAAAGCATTATCACAAGGTTAATCCAAGCATTGGTCCCGTAGCAGCCGAATGGAAATGATTTATTAACGCAGAATAACTTTGAAATCTTAAATGAGAAAGTAAAATCTTGAGCTAAGTGGGTCAAACCTTGAGCGCTAGATTCCAGTTTCTGGGCAGATCCTACGAAAACCAGCATTATTTTTAATCGCGGCGCCCTGTCTCATTTGCCTTACGTTTCTGCAGCATGCAGTGACTCCTCAAGTGGTGCTGTTCCAGTGTAGTCTAGCTACCACTTCAGTACCACCTAGCTTTTTATCGGATTGGCCAGAATACATTGGAAAACACGTCACTCTCCACTAGTCATTCCAATTTCCCCACCCCACATCCCACACCCCACACCCAACGTCATAGCCACTACCTTACCATGTTCTTTACTAACCTGTGTCCTGAGTCACTAGCGGATTTTCAGCATACAGACCCCAGCCCTCATTGAATGCAGTTACCGATGGGTCTTTCAGGAACTCAACATTGACAACTTTTAAGCACTGATCCCTGAGAAAAATTTAAAAGAGAAGAAGTCAGTGTCTTCGTTTATGTCAATTTAGCCTTCTTTGCCCCCTTTTGTTTTCTATTTGTTTACAAAACTGTTTACTTAATTGCTTTCTATTTCGTTTAGAAAACACTGCGAAGAAAAGAAACAAAAATCACTCCCTTAGTTAGTTTACCAAATGCAATTTCTACTTGCTCGTATGATCATTAAATGAAGTGCTTTTCATGTCAGATCAATTCATAAGTCAAAAAAAAAATAGCTTGAACTAGACTGGAACTCACCGAAAATTCTCGATATAGCCTTGTGACTGCATATGGTGCCCAGGACTCGCTTCGTGCGCGCTCACGGTGTATTCGAAGAACCTGGGTCCCATTCTGTCCACAAAGAAAGGGACTTTAATCTTACTGGGCTCTTGGCAGGACCTTGTACTCTTAGAATATCCCTGTACAGAGATCAGGGGATTGAATCTAATTACTACGGAGGCAGGGCACGAGGGAGCAGTTGTTTTATTGCCCGTGTAGTAGACCATTCTGGTTAATTTGGGCCGGATAAGGGCCAGCGTGTTACGAGAAAAGTCAAGCCATTTCATCATCGCTTTGTAACGTTCTGGGCAGTACACTTGAGCAGCTGAAAGAAATAAAGTAAGCAAATAAGGAAAAGAACCCATGCTAAATTCTAACGCGCGAGAAAGACGTATAAAATAAAAGAAAACATCTATTTTTTCGCAGCCGAGGGTTAAAACGAGTTACAGATTTAGCAAGTTAGTGTAGCAAGTGCAGGCGCAAGAAATGACAGCAATCTCCGTTTGATCTACTGCCTCTTGCGTCTACACTCAGTTAAGCAGATTCCCGACAACCAACATTTGCACCTCTGCGGAGAAGAGAGGGGAGTGCTTGTTCTGGTTTCTTTGAGCTATTGAAATTTGTTTGGTTTGAATAAAAAACGCGATTGATTCGATTCTCCTCGGTAAAGCATCAACCTGCTGGCAGAAATTTACCATTTTAAAACCCATAAATATAATTAAGAATCTGTTTAGTCAGGCAAGATTAAGCAGGTTCTTATATGTGGGCTGTAGTTAAATTATGAACTCTTGTTATAGAGGCAACACTTTTATCAGTTCTTTTATCAATTGTGTTAGGCTCGCCATGTGAATAAATACTGTATATTTAAGGACCAACCCCAAGTTTATTTATTTTTCTGGTAATCAACAACTATATCTCCTTCGTATAAATTTCGAACCTACTTAGCCTTAATTGCCAATAAGTACCCCAAAATACAAGAACCTATTTTGTCACACGTAAAAATATGTAGGTTCTTACACGTGGGTTCTTACTGCAATCGAAACATCCGTTGTTTGCAACCGCTTTCGTTGTTTTTCTTGTTTTTCTTTTCTCGCTCGACAATTCTATAAGGCACTAACGTATTGGGTAGTCAAAGAAAGAGCTGACAATTGAACGTTTAACTGATATGAATGAAAACCTTACCCTCTACGCTCTTGCATTTAAGAAAGGCCTCTTCATTAGATTCATTCTCTGGAAAGGGATGTTCATTAAAGTACAGTTCTGAAGAGTTGAGGTATTTTTTGAACTCAGTTACAGCTTCCTCCTCCTTGTCTTTCTTGGTAATCGTCTTAGCAATCAACACAGCCTGTTGGTAAAGACGATGCAACATCTTCCATCCCATGTCATGAACTTCATCTACAGAAAGATGAAGAGCTAGTCACTTCAGAAATATTTTTCAAGAAAAATTTACTACTGGTAGAAAAAGTATCGTTGAATAGCTAGAAACATCTACTGTATAAAGTGCAGTGGGGATATTTTTGGCTTTCAGTTTAGACTCTATCATGCCGTTGTCCCGTCAAGCTTTCTACGTAGAAATCAGCCTTGCCTTCATTGTTATGTTTCTATTTTTTGCTAATTAGATCTTTTACAGATCCTACGTATACCAGCAGCATTTTCGTTTGTGGTCCCTTGCATCATTGTATCCTTTAAAAGCATTAAATAAACAAATATTTAGGTTCTGAAATTCCTGCTATCGCCATTTTGAATCAACGAAGTCCCACTTTGCAGCGTTTGACAGACCGGTATATGTCTCCAGCCTTTATAATGTTTAATTCTTAGACTGTTGTTGGAATATTAAGTCTCCAGTAACAACAGCTCATTGTTGAGGCTAAGCGGCCGGATAATCAGCACGAGATAGAAAGGTCGCCATGTTTGTCAGTTGCCAGAACTATTATGGGCTTTGGAATGTACCTTTGTAGTTTTCAGTGAAATCTTCAACATAATGTAGCCTATACCGATTCGGGTTAGAATTTCTGGAGCCTTTAAGCTTGTCGTTACTTTTCTTTATTGTCGAGTCAGGAAAGCGTCGTTGTAAGCACTTTGACTTAACCCTTCGCTGTATTAATTTCAGCGAATCGCGAGCGTGTATGTGCAGAGGAAAAGTTTAAGCTAGTTAAACACGTAAATCTGCCCCTCCCCCCTCCCCCCCCCCC